ATATTTGTCATTTGTTTGGTCCCTACCTTTCTGTCTCTTGCTTTATTGGCATGTTTGGCATCTCAACAATTGTGGTATCTTGACATCTTAGGATCTACAGAATATCAGTATGGGCTCTTCTGCCTCTCAGTATCTTAGGAGCATACCTACCTTGGTATGTTGGCATCCTAGGATCTTCTGCTCATTGGTATCTTATGATCTTGGGCATCTGGGCATATTGGTATGTCAGGATCATCATATCTCAGTATGCTCAAATGTCACAATCATCAGGATGTCTCCCATGGAGAAAGCTTTTCAGATGTCATTTGATCCCTGTCCCAGGACCAAAGTCAAGGTATGTTCCCTGCGTGTGTACCTCTGGCAGGCAGAGGCAGCCCTCCTCAGGACATCATATGGTTGACTGCAGAGCAGAGTCAGGGTAGGTTCACTTCAGCATGCACAAGATGGTATGCAGTGTAAGTACTCTGGTGTGTTATGATTTCCCATACCTTTGGATCTTGCTATCTCAACAAGATGCCTACCCTCAGTTGTGGGTATCAAGGATCTTCCACCTTGGACTGTTGGTATCTTAGGATCTTACTATGTAAGGATCTTCCACCTCTTGGTATCTTAGGATCTTACTATGTAAAGATCTTCCACCTCAGGTTGTCAGTACCTTAGGATCTTATGATGTAAAGACCTTCCACCTTGGGTTATCAGTATCTTAGGATCTTACTATGTAAGGATCTTCCACCTTGGGTTGTCAGTATCTTAGGATCTTATGATGTAAAGACATTCCACCTTGGGTTATCAGTATCTTAGGATCTTACTATGTAAGGATCTTCCACCTCAGGTTGTCAGTATCTTAGGATCTTATGATGTAAAAATCTTCCACCTCAGGTTGTCAGTATCTTAGGATCTTACTATGTAAGGATCTTCTTATGAGGGTGACACAGTCTAGGTGCTAGCAATGACTGTATGACTGAACAGGTGAGACCTTGAGTGCACATGCAATGCACCAGTATGTGTGGGTGAGACAGTGAGATCATTCAAACCCCTGTTGCCAGACACAACAAAGAGAAATAGGTAACTTGGTCACCAAGATATCCCGAGAGTTGCTCAGTGACTGACAGCATGTCAGGAGTCACCTCATTTTGGTCTGGGTCAAAGCAATATTGATGCTATCAACAAGCATCTTGATGCTAAGGACAAGCATCTTGAGGATAGCAGCAAGCATTGCAAGGCCATATCAGTGCAAGCAGACAAGATCAGGCATATCATATGGTTGCTCAAGGCTCATTATGATATTGAGGAGTATTGCAAATATTGATTGGCAACCATACCAGGGTGCACTCCTATCTTGACCACCTTCCCATGGTATTGCATGCAATCTCATGTCAGGGACCACTTATTGGGATTGCTTGGGAACTTGGAGAAGTCACAATATCAGGGTTTGGCAATATTGAAGACTGAGAAGGCATTGAGAAGCAAGTTCTCACAATATTGGCTCATTGGTAATATCAAGATGGTATTGCCATCTTGGCATCAAGTCCACACAGGCTTGCCCTGAGGTAACCTCTCCTGTACAGATTATCAGCCACAATCTTGAACTGCTTCCGACCCTTTCATACATAGAGTCACCCATTATTGTGATGTACTCCTTAGATTTGATCTCTCAGGAATTCCACTGTCTAGTTGATATTCTGGTTCTATGACCAATCTCCCTCAAGAAGCCGAGTGTGCTTCAATAGTGTGACCCTCTCTTCGATATCGACATCAAGAGAGCATCCTCCACTCATGATTATCTCAATTTACTTGTTGTACTTCTCTGAGCAGCTGATTGCTCAACCGAGATGCCAAGTCCTCCTCTCAGACAACTTGAGCTCTGGTTGATAGCCCTATCTTGGGATGATATTGGACCTTTGGCCCAGCCAAACAGCCAATTCCCCTCAATATGGACAAGCCCCTCAGTATCATATTCTTGCTCACTATGTGCCGCCTTTCTTGATGCTCAGAACTCCACTATATGGACAGCCAATATGCATGATAGGACAAAGCCTTGTCAGCATTCCCCATCAGTTGGTGTCAACCCCCACCAATATCCACAACTCCCCAAACCAATGCCCTGAGAGTCATGATGATATTGGCAGCTGTCTCTTGACACCTCATGATATCTTAATTCAAGAGTCTCACACCCCTTTTCACTTCACAAAACCCCTTCTCAACAGCAAGTTGACAGCTCGCAGATCCAGTCTATGGCCAGTGTTCATATTGATGGATTACCAATGCCCTCAATTCTGTCTCAATCCTACTCCCCTTTCCTGTCATGGCCGAGGACTCTATGATATTGTTTGAGAACACATGAGACACTCAATAGCATGCAAGATGCTTAGTGCTCCTGGATATCGACATGGTCTGATGATATTGACCATTCCCTCACTATTCCCCTTCACTACACCCAGTGTCACAATAACCCAAACTGAGCTCCAGTACACTCAATATTGGGTTGTTTAGGCATCAGGGCTACACTGAGATTGGAGCTTTGCCCTTGATACAAGATCTCGAGCTTGCTAGATGGTGTGCCCTGACACAGCAATAGCAGGCAATAAAAAGCTTTGGATTCAATGCCTAGGACTAGGGGGGGGGGTCCTCAGAGACCAGATCTGAGGATTTACAAGGGTTTACCTAGGGTATATATACTATCTGGAAAATGGAAGCAAATAGAAGTCAGCCACTCCTGTAGAGTTAAGGGTCTACTCTAGAGATGCCCACCATCATGCATTGGTGATGAAGCCAATGGTGATCATTAGTGTCAGTTGGGGTCACATGTTGCTGAGTAATCAATGTTCTATTGCCTGTGTCATCCAAGGGCATCCAATGGCATCTTGCATAGGTGTGAGGTGATGTCTTGTTATCCTGTTGGTCACGTGTGATCACTTGAGAGCGCCCTGAGATTGGGCATCCCCTAACATCACCCCCCCTCCAAGGCTCAGCATCCCAATGAGCATTCACCTTGCATCCAGTCAAATAAGATGTGATGTGGTGGTGTTGTGTTGTTGACCAGGGGGGAAAAGTGTAGGTGTTGGAACATGTGAGCACTGACCTTGCATGGCACTTCTGAAATGCACCCATGGAAGTCATGCACCAGTTGCTGTGCACTGCCAAGGTTGCACACCGGTTCCCAGGAGTTGTGTGCCAGTGAGTAGCTCTTCCAGGCAACCAGGTACTCCAGCATCCCAGATGCCATGAGGCAGCTATTCAGGACACCTTCCACCTCATACTCTTCCTCACCATCATTTGCCAGTTCAGGCACTGGTGGCACTATCCTCTCATGCCCAGGGATATCACTTGATCAATATGGGTGCAGCTTGATGACATGGAACACTGGGTGTATTTGCCAGGAATTGGGGAGTTCAAGGCAATATGCATTGGCATTGACAATCACCAGTACCTTGAATGGGCCAAACCACTTGTCATCCAGTTTCTTCACCAGACACTTTATCTTGGTATCATGGGCATCTAGCCAGACAAGTTGCCTTCTTTGTACTGAGGTGCCTTCTTGCAATAGTGATTGTAGAAGTGTACCATGTCATCCACTGCTTGCATCAACACCACCTTGCACTCAGTCTCCAAGTCATTCATGGTTTTGACAAAGTCCTCAATGCCCACAATGGCCAATTGGCAAGAGAGCTCAGCACCCATGTGTGGTTGTGACCAGTGTCTGCCATGAAGGGCAACATGCACATGGATGCCTGTATCCTGTTGTTATAGGTGACCTCGGCCTGCACTAACCAATTGGCCCAGTCATCCTAGTGATTGTTGGTGAAGAGGTGCAGGAACTGCTCAATTTCCTGGTTGATGTGCTCCATCTGGTCATTGCTCTGTGGGTGATATGCCATCAATGTGGTGATCTTGATACCGAGCAGGTCATTCAAGTCATGCATGAAGTGCAATATGAACTGTGACCCACAATTGCTAATGACTTCCTTGGGAAGCCCATGGTGTCACCAGACATTGTCTTGGAATAGCTGGGCAATGCCTTCTGAGCACACTTATGTCTGTGTTGGTGCAAAGTGTGCATGTTGATCCAACCCAAAAGGTGTCTGAATATATTGGTCTGATGGGAGGTGTGTGAGAACTTGCAGGGGAAAGAGGGGGAAAGTTGGTAGAAATGCAGGAGTCAGCCAGATGCTGAGCTATCAAAAGTTGGTACATATAAATCACAGGTCAGTCAAGTCAAGCACAACATGTCCAGTCAAGTCTGCTGATATATGATAATCAGATCTGTATAACACTAATGAAAAAGGGGCAGAATAAGCTAAGTACAGGAGTTTCTGGAAACTACTTATACTAGCTACTCTAGGCTGTGCCCAATACTATCCTGGTGTCTAGATACCTTACTAAGGCAGAGGTTGGCATGCTGAATATCTGGAGGGGCCAGACCCATTGCAGGGCCTGTCATTCTTGTTGCATATGAGCAGTATCAGGTAGCAATTCTTGACAGTCATGGTGTTTAGCTTGTGATAGTCCTGCACAAGCTGCAGCACCCCATCCTTCTTCTTAACAAAGAATACAGGTGCTGCCATTGGTGACTTCGATGGCCAAATATGCCTGCTTGCCAGGTTCTCCTTCAGAAATGTGTTGAGCTCACGCTGCTCATTGAGTGACAAAGGGTACAGCTTGGTGTTTGTTGGCTCACTCCCTGGCATCACCTCGATCACATGATCCCATTGCCATGACTCTGGCAGTCACTCAAATGACACCTTTGAAAACACATTGGTGAACTCATTATAAGCTGCCAGCACAATCTCCTTGAAGGAGCACTTCTCCTGTTGTGTCTCTGCATGTTTTGCCACAAGCTGCAATGAAACACTTCCTGCCACCTGCACCAACATGTTGTCAATGGGGATACCTACCAGGGGACACTGAACATCCCATACTTCTTCTGCGGCAATATCATCAGAATCACCCTGGAGTGCCTCTGTTTCCAAGAGGCATCCTTCCATGGGGAGAGCATTGCATCACCACTCCCTCACTTGTCTTGGTTGTGCCATTGCCTGTGTCTTTGCCTGCCAGTTGATCTCCAGGTTGTGCTTTGCCAACCAGAGGAAGCCCAAAATCACCTCGCAATAGCCAATGCTGCAGACATGAAATGTTGCATGCTCTGTGTGGGCACCACAGCACACCACCAAGTTGACTGTGTGCATTATGCACTCCACTTGGTTGAGCAACCCATTGATGTTGAATGCCAGAATCACATAGGCAAGTTTTGTTGTCTTCAGCTTTAGCATGCACATGTAGCTTGGGTCAATCAGGAGCCCTGTCCCCCCAGAGTTAACCAGCACCAGGCATTCAAACTCTTTGCCACTCTCAATCCATCAGATGCCAATGCACATCTCCAGTTTGCATTGCTTATCACCTTGGATAATGACCAGTGACATCCCTATTGCAGGGTCTATTGCTTGCTTCAACATGGGCAATTGAGTACCAACATGTTCCATTGACTTAGCTATGGAAACACCAGGTACAGAATTGCCTTTTTGCACCAGACAAAGTGTGTCTTGCTTTGCTAGCACCTTCAAAAAACTGGTAGCACCTTGGAAGTAGCCTTTGGCATTGGTGGCGCACTCTTGGCTGCTAAGGCAGTGTGCAGCATGGCAATCTGTTCCTTGAGCTGCACCAACTCATTGCCCATGTCTACCTGGCAGGTGCACTGGGTGCAATTGTTGCAGTTTTGTGCCATGTGACCCTCAGTGCCACATGCAAAGCAGGTGATTGGGTGGCACACTTGGCATTTATGGTCCACATCCATGGCATTGGGATCAGTGCTGCTTGCCTTCTGGGCATCCTGGGTGGGTGACACCACTGGGCACTTTGCTTGCCATGCAGGTGGTGCTTTCACTTGTCATGTGGAGTTAAGCAGGCACTTCTGCTGGTCAAAGTGCAATGCATACATGCACCCATTGCTCAGCATCTCAGGCATGTTGGGGAGGGCATAACTCTTGTTGACCAGTCCTGATTGAGTGTGCACTGGAAGTGCTTGATCTTGGTGACATTGTTGTAGCCCATGCAAGCCACAATATTGCAGAATTCCACAATTAAGTCATCAGCCATGCAACTTCCCTGGGTGAGCATCTCCAGCTTGAGGTGGGCAGTTGCTCCAGTGTTGCCTGCTGAGAAGGTGCCATGCAGGGCATTTGTAAAGTCACTCCAGGTTGCAAAGACAGGTTGGAGCATTGTTGCTTCTTCATCCATGATGTGATCAGCCCAGGCACCAGCAGTGCTGCTTTTCATGTAGGAGAGTGCAAAGTGCATGTGATTCTGGTTGCCTCAGGATTTGTGTGGGTGACCTTGGATTTAGAGCACCACTTGGTGCAGGAAGGTTGCAGTTTGTGACTGCATGCCATCAAAGCAGTCAGGGACATCCATCTTGGGACCATGCCAAAATGGTTCTGGTGCCTGGATAGGCACAGCAGTTGCCATTGTAGGTGTTGTGCACCTTGTGGCAGCTTGTTGTTGGGAGGTGTAAGCAAGTTTTGGTTGCTGCTCAGCATGTCAAAGTCAACAGCATCCTCTTGGTGATTGGAGGGTGTTGGCTTGGTGTCTCACAGGTTTGTTTGGAGATCTGATCTTCTCTGAGGGTGACACAGTCTAGGCACTAGCAATGACTGTATGACTGAACAGGTGAAACCTTAAGTGCACATGCAATGCACCAGTATGTGTGGGCAATGAACAAGGCCACCTCTGGTGGGGTGTGTCAGGCCGGTATTCCCACAGTTATTTTCGGGCCCTTAGACATTGTTGCATGGCACTATGGACCCTCACAATGCAGACAACACACCCCGGTAATGGACCTTGGCCCTCCAGATATTCAGCATGATGACTACTGGTTTCCCCTGCAACAGGATCAATCCACACAGATATTTGGCATGCCAACATCTGCCTTTGAGAGGTATCTGGAGACTGGATTGGTATTGAGCACAGCCTAGAGTAGCTAGTATAAGTAGTTCCCAGAAACTCCTGTATCTAGCTTATTCTGTCCCTTTTCTGTTAGCATTATACAGATCTGATTATCCCCTTACTGGATAGGCATAGCAGATTCAACTTGACTTATTGTGACTTGACTGGATGATCACTGAGCTCCAATTATTGCATACTGATTTTTGATAGCTCAGCTACAGGCTGACTCCAGCATTTCTACCCACCTTCCCCTTTCTCTCCCCTCTTTCCCTAGCAAGTTCTTGCTCACCACCCATCAGACTGACTTATTTGGACCACTGATATTTCAGACACCTTTTGGGTTGGATCAGCAAGAGGGCGAGATCATTCAAACCCCTGTCACCAGACACAACAAAGAGAGATAGATAATTTGGTCACCAAGACATCCTGAGAGTAAATCGAGCTTGAATGTTCCGAATGTGCAGTTGAAACTTGGAGTCCCCTGACAGCATCCCCTGACACTTCCATCTCAGGTTGTGAGTATCTGAGGATCTTATGATCTTGGTATGTTATGTTATGATCTTATGATCTTACAATGTAAAGATCTTGGTATGTTATGATCTTGGTATCTTAGGATCTTAGTATGTAAAGTTCTTCCACCTTGGGTTGTCAGTATCTTAGGATCTTACTTTGTAAGGATTTTCCACCTCTGGTTGTTAGTATTTTATGATGTAAGGATCTTCCACCTCAGGTTGTTGGTATCTTAGGATCTCACAATGTAAGGAGTTTCCACCTTTGGCTGTTGGTATCATAGGAGCTTACTATGTCAGGATCTTCCACCATCTGTTCTTGGTGTCTTAGGATCTTACTATGTCAAGAGGTTTCACTGTCTGTTCTTGGTATCTCAGGATCTTACCATGTAACATTTCTCAACCTACATTCACAGTATCTGAGGATGTTAGGATCTTACTATGTCAGCATCCACCAGGGGAAACCCCTCTGCATCCGACTTGCATCCCCAAGAGTTCGAATAGAAGAACAGCACACAATATCATTATTGCCACCATCTCAATACAATGACTCCTAGACAAAGGCATCAACATTCAAAGGAATGGTTATTGCAGCTAACCTATCAGCTGATAAAGTTCTCTATCCAGAAACTTGTTGAGGAAGAACTCATTGCAGAGGTTGAGCACATCATCAGCTGACCATGAAGTATCAGTTCTCCCAATAGCTTGTAGCATGCAGTGTTGTCTGATAGACTGTAATGATATGATATCTGACTTGGGCTTTCCATTTTCTGTGAACACACACTGAACTACTGGCAATCCAGATTTGTGAGCAGCTTGTGAGCAGGGATCTGAGAACCCTTCCACATATGCAAGTGGCTGCAGATTGTCCATGCGGAACATGACATGGCTTGTTTCTGTTGGCAGCTTGAAGATCAACTGCATGCATGCTATACCAAAGGCTGTTGTTTGAAAATATCAGTTGTGTCAGATACCCCAGCATCCAAGTTCACATTGTCACACACCTTGAATCCCACTATCTTGTCTTTCTGACTGCTCAATGAGCACAGTGTTGAAACAAGCTGGATGGTTGCATACTAGCCAATGTTCACCCTTCTTGCAACTTGGACAAGCATTAATAGTACAAGTCAAGCTTCCATTTTTGCTTTTGTTTTCTATGACCATTCTGCACCAGACTGAAACCAAGTTAAGGAAAGGCAGGGGTTCTTCCTCTCCTCTGCTAAGTCTTCCTGGTAGTAGTCTCTTGGTGTATGCTTGTATAGAGGACATAAATTTGGAGCAAGACCAGCACACAGGATTGACCAGTTCAGAGATAAGCATGCTAGAAAAGGTCAGTTGGGTTGAAAGATGATATCAAGTAGAAATGCTCCAGGGTGCAGCATTCAATGCACCCTGCCACTCCTTTGGGTCACACTGTGGTTCTACTGGCATGAGATGGAATGGCTATCAAATGCAAGGGAATGAATTACCTTTCCAAGGCATGGATACTAGGGAGGAAAATTCTTGCATTGCCTCTTGCTGCACAACCCAGTGGGCCATTTCCATTGTGGAGGTTTCTTTTCATCTGCTGCTAGCTTGAAAGGGATTCTTTGTTAGGTCAATGTGTAATCTCTCAGTCATTTCAGTGGACCAACCATCCAGAGCTCCATCCTCAATGATTGACCACACATAGTGAATGAGAAGATGAAGCTTTGGAATACAAAAGAGGTTTGCTGCAGGTCAAAATGAGAGACCTGTGGTGGTGGAAAACAAGATAAATTGACCTTTGTCTCCTTCTCCTACCCCTTTGTCACTCCTGACTCTGAGGTTTGTGAAGCCACATTTGTTTTTGTGAAAATCCAAAAGGGCCTATCAGATTAGAGGTGGTGTATGGTCCAAATGTGCAGGCAAAGACACAAGGTAGTAAAACTCTATGATGGCTCTGGTAGCCTTCATGATCTGAGCACCATCTTCTCCTTTCTTCTCAAGAGTTGGAGAGCCACATATTGTGCCAACAAGAACTTGGACAATGCTCTTGAAATCTTTCCTGCTCATGCAGAAATAGTCTGGAAATCCATCCCTGAATACCTCAGCACTGTAGGTATGAGGTATGATTTGAAAGGTCAAGCTCCTGCATTCCCAGGACTTGCTTGAGCCAATGGATGACATGCATGAGAACACCCTGCAATAATTGATGGAGAATATCCAGATAGAGCAATGAATGTATTTGGCCATGGGGGAGGCCTGCAAAAAAAGGATCCAGAACAGCAGTTAGAGATAAGGCCCTTGTCACAACACTGTAAGATCTGAGTTTTCTGGTCTGCTTGTGAGTAGCAGGATTTGATGATAAGTGGATTTGCCGGGATTGAGGGCTTTGAGACTCTAAGAGTGACCCTGGTGTGACATCAATGCAACACATCGTGGTGTCAACAGGCTCTGATTGGAGAGAAATGGAACTGTGGAGGATGGCGACTGTAATGTCCTGCTTTCTGGGCAAGCAATTGAGGGTACAACAGTTTGTGTACAAATCTTTGTTCCCTGTGAGTTCCATTCCCATATCATGCTGAGCAATGTTCCCAATCAGACAAGCACCATATGCTGTGCAGGATACAAGACAGTACTCTGGATAGTCACCAATATAGCTGCCCAGAATCAGAAAGCAAAGTTGGGCAAGACCATCAGCAGAGACCATTTCAACACCATCTGAGCCTGCAATCTTGATTTCCTCCAAGAGATGGCTCATACAAAAGTGGAAGAGATGCTGTCATGCAACTTTTGCAGCTTCTTTGCTCAACCCCAGTTTGTCAAAAGAATCCATAGGAAGAAGTCCAATAAGGATCCATGATTGCATAGATGACAATTTTTTGATAGCCTTGGGCAAGGTACCAATGGTAATGTACACTGGATAGCCTTGTCTATGCCCAGAGAATTGTGTGAGTTGGGTTTTGTCCATTGCCAGTATGAATGGAATGAGAGGAGCACCATTTGGCAGTGGCCCCTAAATCATTGTTATTATGAGATGTTGCACACCCCTGGAAGGAAAGTTACCTGAACCCAGTGCCACCAATTTCCTGGCCACATCTCAGAGTACACACAGTTTGCTTGTGCTTCATTGGCAAAATGCTGTTCCAGAGCAAAGTGCAAGTGTTGGAGGAGCTGTGGACTGCCAAATAAAGAGCAGATAGCTCCAAGCAGGGAACAAAAATAGAAGATCAAAACATGAGAACTTCTGACAAGAGGAATTTCTATCTTGTCCCAGTCTAGGTGAGTGACAGGTAACTCATGGTTGATGATTTTGTTGAGCTCATAAGAGTTTTTGAAAGGTATTCCAGCATGATTGACAAACTTCAAGAAAAAGTTCAGTAATGTGATACTTGGGGCACATGTGCAAACTGACCATGGGGGTCAGAAGCCTCTTGGTCATGGCATGACCGATACCTTCGGCCTTCAACCAACATGCAAGGTGAAAACCAAGAGGTGTGTTAGGGCAACACAGGCTGACTATGTCTGCTCACCTAAGAGTGCCAAGAGTCTAAGCAGGCAACAAGGAAGTGGAGTAGACCTGATGACTAAGACCTATCTACAGTATAGGTACCTGTGGATGATCCTGAAGGCATACCCTGCACAGCAGCTCTCTTTGAGGTTTTGAGTGGCAAGCAATGAGGCTGCTGCTGGGGTATGTTAAGAGGAGATCTGGGAGCCACTGCCCTACTATGAACAATTGTACCATCTGGTGCTGTTGTGCCTCCAAAATCAATCTTTTGAATTGTTGGACATTTGGAACTCACATTGCAAGCCAGTTCACCTACCACAGGGGGCAGATCTGAGGGCTTACTTGATGCAGCACTGGACATGTCCAGGTTCTCTGAGCAGATGATTTCTATTTCCAATGTCAGACATTGTGTTCCCACATCATATGCACTGGCTTCCTACCCTGAAGTTCATGTTTGGACTGAGGACTCCCAGAAATAGAAAAGGAGCACATTAGAGAAGACATGGACTGATGGTCCCTATCTCAAGCATTCCCACAGCCTTGAGAAACATTTGACTTGTCAACATTGAGCAAAGGGAGGTGTTGCATGTGTTGTGACCAGGCATGTTTCAGAAGTGAATGCAGCAAAACTTCCTCTGTTTCCTGAAGCAAATCAGGAGGGTCCGGAAGACTAGTAGTAGAAGTGGAGATCGGCCAAAGCTGTTCATCCCAGGCAGGGGTAGAAGGTGATTGTGCGAATATATGGAGAGGCATTGACCTGACAGTGTTTGCCCCCTGGGGCATGCATGATTGTGAGAACCAATCATTGTCCTTATCAACACTCTGATTCTCTTCTTCAGATGTTGCCAACGGCATTAGGCTAGATGTGGCACTGCTGCCCTTTTCAACACCCATACTTGATGGCCCTTTGGGGTCATCAGACACAAGATCTTCAGCTTGTAGTCTCTCTATCAGGCTTCTGACATACCACATATGCTGGGGCTTTTTGGTCACAGTGGCCCTGCTGGCTGCCCTGAGGTCAGCCATTAGTGTCAGCCAAAGACCAAGCCACACACAGTTGCATGCACATTGCATTCTGATACAGATCAAGCATGATTCAGTGGAATCGGTTTGGGAAAGCCCAGCAAAACTCTTTGATGTTGTTGAGATGGTTGTGGTAGACTGAGCTCCAAGAATGAGCCATAAACTTGTGGGACATCCCCACCTTCCTCTCTCCACTTGCCCACTGTTCTAGAGCACAATGGATCTATACCATCGCTCAGCATAAATAGAGCTTTCTTTGTGGAATGGACTCACCAAAGTTATGACAAGGGCAAGCAATGGGGGCTGGCCTTGCCCAAAAATGTCTTTGAATCATACTCCATTGCTCTTGACATTGTGGAAGAAGGCAGTTGAGGAGACTGCTTGAATCATTGCATTTTTGAAGCTCTTCTGGGGAAAGGAGCTCTGCATTGGACAAGTAAATCACAGGATAGACTTAAGCAATGTATGGAATCCATACCCATGTATCGGCATACAGAAACCTTGAGTTGATGGTGAGACATTCAACTGCATCAGCAACGTCCTCCAGGTCTCGACAAAGTGGTAGCTTATAATGCTCAAGCAAGAGGCCAACAGCAATGGACTTGACCTTGCCCCTTAACTGAGCTTCTCTCTGTAGAATCTACAATACTGTGTCATTAGAAAGTGTGTGCAAAGAATTCAAGTCACTGTTCTGCACAATATCCTGAATCTCTGATTTGAAGCTGGGATCTTCCTTGAAGCGAGATTGATAATGGTCCTTGAGTGAGCCAAGCTCAGCACATGCAGACTTGAAACACTTTCATGCCCATTTAACATGGAATAGTGGGCCGGGGAAAGCATTGCAGTTTGCCAATAATACACGGTATTTCCAATTGGCCAACCCAACAAGTGATTTCAACATCACAGATAGATCACTCATCTTGGAGTGTTGGCCACTTTGCTTCATGCGCACAGGCAACCTGATGGCAACATCAAGCTTGTTGACCTTCCCTGGGAGCCTGGCTTGTGATGTTTGAGGCTGATACTTTCAGTCCTTGGATTGAGTGCAAACACCAAACTGACTGAGCATGTTGAGATGATGATACCCTTCAGGGCAACAAAGCAAAATGCACCTGAATTTCCTTGAACTCATCTCTGCACTCCCCTGCATCCCTTTTGGTGTGTTTCTGTTTCTCCTTTCCCTTTTTTTGTCCTACTTTCAACTTTTGATGTGCAAGATTAAGTTTCAGAAATAATCATAACCACTGTGTGCAAAGAGACTGACATGCATTGTTACATCCATGGGGAAATACAGTTCTACCACAACTTCCTGGCCCTTTCCTTTGATGGTTCTCTTCCACTTTGCTCTCTACATCATTGACACTCAGTCTCTCAATTCCCTTGATGTTCTCACTAATAGGAAGATATTCCATTTGAGCTCCCCTGGGATTTGGCACACACCTGTGTTGGACTGATGGCCACATTTGGATGATCTCCTTTGGCCAATGAACTCGATGTGACACATGGGCACCATGCATGCATTTGCTTCTTGATAGATCCTCTTCAATTTTGTCTTCAGTCCCATCCTCATCCCCATCCTCAGAGGACTCATACCATTGATACAAGTCATGTGCTTTGGCAGTATGTATTGAGAAAGTGAGAAAACTGGGATGGCCTTCCAGTGTGTCCTCATCACCAAGGACCATACATTCTGTAACAATGCAGTCAGCACAGTCTCCTGTAACACCATATGGAGTAACTTTCCCAGAGCTTTGCTGCCTTCCCTGTCTGTTGTATCTTGATTCATGGTGTACATCTCTGTACTGTTGGAATCTCTGGGTCAGTGGAGACAAGTGGTGGTTCAGTTCATCTGAACACACCAAATACAGCATCTGTGTGATTCAACACATGGTAGAGTGGGCTGCTTGGGCATTTCATTGCTGTAGTAGGAGGTGTGTGACTTCCCTTTGGCTGACTTCCACCCATCTCAGACAAGTGGCTGGTATAGTATTCAGATAACTCAGAGGGTATATTGCATGCTACAGGAAGGTACTTGAGTATGTAATGCCTGACAAAAAATAGCGGAGAGACTCACAATGACTGTGATATATTCCCTGTCACAATCTGAGTGGATATGGGAGAAAACAGGCAGGATAATGGCAGAGGTGGAAGGTGCAGTGCACAATTTCTTCTAGTTACCAGCAATTCCCAATCTCATCAATCTCATTTGGCCGATTACCTCCACATCTAGGAGGACTTCTGAGTTCATATCCCTCATTAATATGTTAGTATAACCCCCAGGCTGGATACAGAGCAAATGGGAGTACTTGGCTTGCAGTGTGATAGGATGCTAGGATATTGCAAGGGAAGGGATGTTGCCATGCTATCCACAAGCCATCCCACAAAGTTGTCAAAACTCGCAGCCTGAAGAGCTAGGTCACAACATCCATGCTGTACCTTGATAATCATGGGATGGGCGGTTCTCCCCACAACTTGTCCTGATGTCTATCTTGTAACCGACTGCAAGTCACAAGCATGGTTCTACCATCACCGCTGGATGCGTTTTCTCAAGCCCCAAGACAAGATAGGAAAGCCTCGGTGAGCCAAACTTTGTGGATCAGACAAAGAGGACATTGATCACTTTCAGTCAACTCTGTATCCTGAAGGTGCACTGGAACTTGCAATATGACTCTTTCATCTCAATGGTGGGATGCCAGTGCATCCGTTGACAAATAATGAAATAACATGCTTCAAAACAACCAATGGCAAGTACCATGGACTCTACAATCTCTCTGAAGAAGAGGGAGATGAACTCATTCCTTACTCACTCTTGCACTTTGGAATATTCAAGAGTATGGTGGATTTCAAATGTCAATGGTGGGCAGACCAGGTGCAGGTCCGGAGACCATTGTGCAATTGTGGTTGCTACATGGACCTTGATGCTTGGTTTGGCAATTCCTGGTTTCAGGAAGACTACTTGACATTCGTGGTGTCTTGACTAGAGGTCATTCAGTCAAAGGCAGGGGATGAGGCAGAGAATAAGGCAGAGAGTATGGAACACCTTCCAGATGGTAGAGTGGCCAGCATGCGCCTCAGGGTGGTGAGTTGTTTAGAGGATAACTAGGGTGCAATATTGTCACATCCATTGTTCAGTGTCACTATATACACATTCTCCTCATAACATGGGTGTGCTTAGATTCATTATTGTCTAGCTTGGCTGCTGCCAGACTGCAAGGGGGCCTTCTTTTGCAGATAACAGTTCCTCCAGTCATCCAGCACCCCCTGTCAAAAAAACTTTTCCCTCGCCCAATCCCTGCACATCAATCAGCAGAATGGGGACCCATGACTTCCTCTGAGTACTCCACTCCCAGAAACTATAATTTGCTTTGACATGGGTGAACTGTTGGTGGATTGTCAAGAGCACTAGCACCCACATGAGACAAAGGGGGCTTGAAGCAAGGGCACAAAGATTCTTTGCAAACTTGGTCTGGCTGGTGTGCAATTGCAGTTTTGGGACTCAGTGTGTGTGTGAATGAATAATGCTCATGCAACCACAACAGAACAACATCTGTGGTTTTGCAGCTGAGAGAGGGGTTGCCAGGCTGCCTTCAAGTTGAGATTCTGCCAAAAATTGTTGATACACTCTGCTTAAAGTGTGAGGAAATTCATACACAAGGTGTTCAAATAGACCTACACTTGAAATGTTGCACTCTCTGCACAATGACCAGGAGTGACCCTGGTGTTTTGCATTGCCAAGCAGGGAGGAGGATCTGGATGTGGATTGCCATTTGGCCAGCCAAAATACAAAATGTGAGCAAAGATGTCTACAAGAACTTTATCCCAGCCTTCATCAAGCTCTGTGAAGAATTCAACAGTGGCTCTCTTGGCTTCTCTCTTTGCCTGCATAAAACAAGGGTGATTGTTGAAGATACACACAGAGGGAGGGAGTGTCATACTGAGTGAGGAGTTACCCCCAGCCAGAGGTGCTGGATACACAAAACCTGGAAGGTCATCTACTTCTTCTATTTCAGAGTGGACAAGAACTCTGATGTCAGATGACCACAAGTTGACTGGGCCCCAGAAGATGGCAAAATGCAGTATATGCAGTTGGTTGCCATTGCCATTGGGCATAACACCATGGGAACATGTGTGCACCCATGCCGAAAGTATAGCAAGCAAATACCATGCATCTGCAATTGTTTGGACCTTGATTGAATGAGAAAGAAAAGCTCCTGTATCACAATCAGAATGTATCAAGGTGGAAGATATTGGGAAGCACACCTAGTGCCATGTAGAAGTCCGTTATCAAGACAGGATTGTTCCCCAGTGTGTTAACCCAAACTGGGTGTTTAGGTCACAACAATGCTTCCCAATCACAAAGCTTGCAATTGATGTCCTCCACCTTGTACCACAGTGTTTTGTCTGGGACTTCCTGAAATGTAGTAGCTCTGCGCATTGGCTTTCATCATCAGCATGATAGAGAGATCATGTCAACATCACTGTACCTGGGTGAATGTATGTGGGCACAACCAAAACCATGGTGAATGGATAAGGTATGCCTGGTACAGGAAGGGATGATGGAGCGGTGGGACATCTAAACCCCAAATCAGTGAGACAGTGGAGGAACACAATGTCAGGATGGACCTCACAACCATGGCCAGAGGTTCCTTAACAATAGATTCCCATAACTCAGCTAGTCCCAGTTCCATGTGTTGAGACAACATTTGACAATGAGAGTATATCTTGCAATGTATAAGCTGAGTCACATCATGATGCTACATCAATAGACTCTCACCTGACTGCTCATGAATTGTATGAGTTCTCTGAGCTTTACGGACAGTTGTACAGTGACATGGTCCATATCAACAGGTGGAGGCCATTCCATAGAGAGAGTACTTGGGTGATGGACACAGTTGGTGCATGGTGGGAACAGAGCCTAAGGTCATGGGGTAGATATACAGATCTAGAGGCTTCAGAAGAAACACAGCCTCAATTAATAATATGGTGTTTCATTTAGTTGATAGCTGAGACCCTGGGTCTCCTGAAAAGGGACCAAAAACAATGAATTCTCATTGTAGCTGTTCTACTTGGCATTTCTCCCACCAGTACTGCTACATCAAGCCATGAAAATGTGGTGCACAAAAAACTACAACTCTTGAGGCAATGATGTCTCATTTGTAATAGATCACTCACAGCAGATGAACAGAAGCCTCACATTCAAACTGCCCAACTGCCTGGGACAAGTCCTAGGCTCAAGTGTTCAGCAGATCACATGGCAATGGATATTGATGTTCCCAGTCACCTTCGTGAAGAACATGACAAAGCAGTGCACAATACAGAGATGACAGATGCCATAAGTATTGGTGCATGTATGTGTTCCCTTATGAATGAAGACATGGACTGATGATAATGTTTAGATTCATTCACATATCAGCAAGTTAGTGTTATGCTGCATACTATCTGTGCGGTGGTTGTAGCATTGCAGAGGGATACCCAAAATCAAGCTATGAGAGATGCACTATTTGACATTAGCGAGGCTCTGCTGGAAGTGATGGGTGTAGCTGACGTGGCTGAAATACTTGCATTGGGGGACTGATGTGACCAACTGAGATAGAACTCTCTCGTAGGGGACATATTTCAGTAAAAGTTATGTTGAAGATATTTCTGCAATTTTAACAACATATTCTCATGTGCATGAATCAGGATATGCACAGACAATTTTATGGTGTGCAGATGGATTTTGCAATGGCTAAGTTATTTCTGAGAGGCAAACAGGGTACAAACATCTACATCGACGGGAAAAGATATTCCTTACTACTACATAGTAGGCCATGGATGTTTGACCCTGAAAGCCACAATGTGAGTCACCTTGATGCAAATTGGAGAGAGGTCTTGGGTAATAGAGCATAATATATAAAGAAATAATACCCAGAATGCCAATCCACAAAACAGTGGTTGATGGTACAGACTGGCCTGGTGGATATAGAGCAGAAACGCAGATACAGGAGTGAGATTAGTGGCATAGGAGGTTTGATCCCATCAGGCCTGTGGTCTTTGGCCTTTTCTTTGTCCATATATAAATGCTGGTGACATGTCTCCCTCCTTTACTCAACTATCTTGTAGAAGGTTGCAAGCTCCATATTCATGGCACAGTCAACGGAAAAGCTCTTCAACTTGATTACTGGTACTGCAAGGGCAAATGGTGAGAAGTGGAAAGAACTGACTGTGAACATGAAGTCCTTCATTGAAGTAAGTCCTGTTTGTGTTATTGTACCTTCCGAACATTCAGCTAAACTGTCATATAGGGAAACATAGAGAACTATCTTGACAAACAGCCTGAAGGATGGAAAGATGTGCCCAGCCCACTCCAAGAATTCATGGGGAAGGAATGGTCAGAGAAAGCTAGCACTGCATACACCATGTTCATCATGCTTAGTGGTGGAATGGGCAAGTCCATAGGGAATGAAGACTCCTCTATTGCCAATGATCAAAACATGCCAGGGGCATCTTTCAGCACTGGAAGTAAGAGAGCAGCATCTCCCACTGCTAAGGAGGAACCGAAGAAGAGAAAGAAGCAGACAACCAATACTGCCGACTGCACAAATGTTAGCCAAAGGAGGGATGATGCAGTACCTGATGAGTCAGTGAAAGTGAGTGAACCTTTTTTAGCATACTCACGTCAGATTCACTGAACTCTAAACCAGGTAGAAGAACCAAAACATGCCAGAAAATCTTTGAGGGATGATAAAACTGTGAGCCCATTACAGCTATATTATGCAGACTCTGAGTCAAATCTGTGTCAATAGGGTAATGTCAGTGAAGTACATAAATAGCAATGCTCAAGTAGCTAGGTCTGTTGCTAAGGCATCAAACAGTACAGAGCAGATGACAAAACCAACACACCTATTTCTACTCATGATGAGGTGAGCAAGTGACATTGGTCCCATTAATAGCATACACTTATGCACTATGGTCAGATCAAGGTGGTTCCTATGACTGATGTGCTCAAAAATCTCAAAAGTAGGTTTCAACTATTCTCATGGATTCAATTATTCAAATACACAGATCTATCTGGCATCCAAATTGCATGGATGATTCCTGGGAATGGGTTTACAAACCACCATTCTCATGGACTGGACCACCCTTCAGACACGTTGATAACAAGCACATCTGTTGAACATGATATACCAGGCAAAGAGTACAAGTTCATCATCAGGATGGCAAAGAAGGTTACCATGGACCCTGAGCAGACAAAAAAACTCACAGAGTTCCATGTTACTCTCTCTTCCACCAGCAGGAAGAAGAGCACAAAGAGCCCATGCTCAAGTATCAACAAGTTTGGTATGGATACCCATTAGGATGATTGGATAGACACAGCATTCCAGACACAGATGAAGAGAACCAAGGGGACTGAAGTGCATAGCTCCATGCTGTGCACCCAGTCTCAGACAAGTAAGGAGGGAAGGCAAAAGCATCCTCGATGGGGAAAGATATTGGTATGCACAGAGAAGTAGCATGTACATACACTGGTGCTCATGCCAATTGAACAGAGTCCCAGAATAAGGTTGCCCTTTCCATGATCTGGAAAATGGAAAGGAACATCAATACCCTGGAGGAAAAACATGGAGATGTCAAATTTGGATCACTTGATGATAACTTGGAAGACCTGGCTGCTTTCCATGGGGGTGAGTTGAAGGAGGAGCATTACATAGGTTAGGAAGTTTGTGAGGACAACTTACCAATGCATGTAAAAATTTCATTTGATACTCATATGCAACATATAGTACTTTTACAATTGCTAGTTATGCATGGTGACAGTTGATATTTACTTGAAACCAGAAATGTAACTTGTTATTTTCCTTGAAACCTAAGTGTCTGCGAGACCCACACATCAGATGGAAAGAAAAAGACATAATATGGACAAGTTCATTCTGTAACCTGCATTCAGAGTATCTACATATGATGGCTGGTTGTCTGCACTATTCTAGTATAGCTTAAAGTGAACCTGGTGGTTGCAAGGAGATCAATCTCATGCAACCACTCCTTGGCTAACCAGCTATATTTCCTGGAACATCTGGATATCTGATAATGTTCCATATCTTCTCTTGCCTTGTCCAACAATCTGAGCATTCCCTTGTAGATAATACGATCTGTTCTTATGAGTAACATATATTTCAAAGAAGCCACCGACTCACAAGCATCATTATCAGGATGATCTTGCCATCCACTCATCAATCTAAGCTGGCTATTCACATAATTCAAGGTGTCATGCTCTGAATCAGGGACAGCATTGAGAAATATCATATGCTGATAATGTTGATGGAAGTTGCTGTGAACAAAGGAACATATCCCATTTGACCAGAGTAGATTCACTGGCCTTGTCACATGTATAATTGATCTCAATCATCTGAGGGCCTCAAACATTGTCACCCACAACATCTCCTTCCAAATTGTGAACTCCACTGGCAGGAATCACCTGAGTCAAACAGTCAGTTAGCAAATGTTCAAAGCCAACAGATGGTATACCTACTGGTGCATCTAAAGTCACATTGCTGTCATTGGCTGATGAAAGTGGAACACTCTGTAGATGAGAGGTTTCAATATGCTAAGAGAGTAGATTATGAGTCAAAGAATCTACTAACAAAGTGGATTAGAGGAGACATGCTCAAAAGGGAAACAGCTCACTAGGCAATGATCTCGTGCCATCACATGTCTCTTGCACATCATCCACTATCCCAGTATCGCACAGTTTGTTATCTGAGTCACTTAGGTCAACATCAAGAACATCTTTGACACTTTCGAGTTGAGCAGTATGCCTGATAAGCAGAGCAGCATGGCTTTCTGTGCAGTTCACTATGTTTGAGGTTGCAACAAGTGTATCTTCAGCAAGAGGCAAAATCCAATTGATTGTGAGTGGGACATCAGTAGCTGCGACCACAATAGCAGATGTGGCAGGAGACTGACAATAGTGAGTGAAGATGTGAGGAATGAATTGAGAGATGGACACATGGGCAATGGTTCTGGGGGTTGGCTTCATCTATCCCGTCATGCAGCTCAACTGTGATGTGCTCAACATCAGGTTGAACATTGACATGTATCTATAATGATCAATGAAGAGACAATTGAGGTTTGATAGCAATGCAAGTGTACACTTACATTGCTTGCTGTGCCCAGGGTACCAGCACTGGAAACTTGACTTTCCAGAGGAACAATTGGTGGGGAAATGCTACTTGGAACTGCCTGATGGTATTCTGCCACCACAACTGATATGTCTGCATTGGTGGACTTCTGATCCTGATCTCTGACAACAGGATATGTAACTGGTAAAGGTTCTTGAGGAATCGCCAACATGGGATGCCATTGAATAAGGGAAGTCTGTCAACTACAAGCAGGGACATGAATTGGCTTGTTACCTTTGATCTTGACCCAGGCCTCATACTCAGAAGCAATGTCTTCTGCCCAGGTATCATATTCATCCTCCTGAACCAGTTCAACAATTCCCTGATTCACAAGCAGGTATAGTTCTGGCATATGATGGAGAGCACATTTGGCCATTTCCTGTTGCAATCATGAGGAGACAGAAACAGTACCACCTGAAGGCACATGCTTACCCAAAGAGGTATGACCTCCTCCAAATCCCTTTGGCTCCAAACCACCTTGCTCTGTGGCTCACATGTGTACCAGAGCTCCATAAACTCTGACTTGAGACAATACAAGGTGAGAGGCCCAGTATTATTGAAGTTCATGGTATTGAAGACAATGCAGAAGGAGAGGGATTGCAGTGAGATTTGCTGTGTGTATGTTGAAGACATGCTGCAGTGATGGAGAGAGAAGTTCATCAAGTTGCTGGACTGCCACTTCATACAACAAACACCCCTTCAGTTCACATCCCCCAAACCATGACCATTCTCATTATCTGGAAGGACTCTCATTAGGTGAACACAACAGAGAAGTAAAATGTACATATGACATACACATAACAGGAGTACTGGGCAATATGACTCCTAAGCCTTACACTATATTGATATACCCATCTGATGAATTCAAAAAGGCAATGGGAGAGGAATGGATAAAGGAAGTCAGCAACAACTTCAATTACAAGTTTACAGGGGACAGAACTTTGAAAGAGGAGATAATCATAGCAGCAGAAGCAGTAAGTTATAGAAATAAGATCTCCAATTCCACTGACATAAAACACAGATGTTTGAAGTACAACAAATACTGTTAGCAGAGATAAAGCGAGTTGGGCTACAAGAAATGGAGGACAATGTATTTGCCTTTCCTTTTGAGGTGTACTATGTTGATCATGCATACATGAATAGACGCATTCCCTACACTCCCTTGGTCAAAAGGATGGATCCTGACAAGAGGATCTTGCAAAGAAGCACAGGTTGGGAGTTGAGCATTGTAATTTATATCTCAACTGACATGTATGCCAGACCGGAAAATATGCAAGGGAATTCCTACTCTGACACAGAAAGTTTGGGAAACATTTATGGAGTACAGAAGGAACCAGGATTCCAACTCAGATGAATGCCATGACAAGTCTGTAAGCGAGCTGAATCACACATTGAAGTTGGGACTGTGGATGACAAAGATAAATTGGGAGCACCTCAGGATGGAGTAGAGACATGCAAGGAAGGAATAAGCAGATCAAAACCAAACTCTTGTTACAAATGATTGGATAGAAAGATTCAATCAACATAGTTGACCACATAAAAGGAATGTAAGCAATGAGTAAAGGCAGTTTCTAAATGAAATGGATACTGGACACATGATCAAGCAATCCTACATATCTGAGAATGGGGTGAACCATCCCTGTGTAAGCCGATGAACATAGAAGAGCACTACTTCCTCCTGGGCAACACAACCAGTCTTTTAGCAAGAGCCCAGTATTTGATGGGAGATGAACAATGTCCACCAGTTTCAGTTTTAGGCGCCTCACTATGGAATGTAAAGGAAGACAATTCCAATGTGGAAATTCTCATGAAACAAAGAAGAGATAGAGCAAGATCTCTTAACATAACTGCCATGAAGAAGTTCTTGTGTGTAAGGAAGATTACCTTTGCATGGTTGTTGCATGAAAGTATGGGAATTTAGAAGAAAAATACCCACCTGGCAATGAAGATGAGGTGATGTATATCCCTCCTTAGAGGGTTCAATACCAAACTCTTCTGACACAACATGCAAGCAAATATCTAAGGATAGAGGATGACTGACTGAGAAGTTTAGACAAAGATACATTGAAAGCATGGGAGACCACAAGCACATGACATTGCTACAAACCCAAAACAAATAGATAGACTAGAACTACAAACTACCACACACAAGGAAAAGTTCATGACAAGATGAGCAACAATGATGAGGCAATGGAATAAATGTAGAATACCACAGGGTAACCAACCAGACAAAAAAGTTGAGGCGATTGAAAGCAAAAGAGGATGTGGAAATCAACAATCTATGTAGCAGACAAATGATTGCCCTGTGGGTCGGATCCAATGACTTCATTGGAATGACCAGTGGATTGAGTGTACACAGCACAGTGTGAAGTCATGGATAGCAAGCCATTCCTGGCTCTCTGTGCACAGGAAACAATATCAGTCATGACACTGATGAGCATGGACAACACTTGGGGTGGGACAGGAGAAGGGACAGCAGCTACGGAAAGATCAGCTGATGCAAACAAATGCATAGGATACACCACACCATATGCGAGTTCATCCCCCTCCTGGACAGAGGAATCAGATGAACCACAAGAGACTTCTTCTTTTGGTGAAAGAAAAGCAATGGGGGGATTGCTGCTGGTAGAATGAAACTGTTTTTCTGAAGCAATCCTAGCAACTTGAGAAACCGTGACCATAGATCAAAGAAACAAGCAAATGACGGACCTCCCTGGAGAGAGCAGGGAATATTGCATGGCCTACATTGATCACAGCCATAATTGGACTTCTTACTGTCCTTGTGTGAGCCAGAGCAATAAACATGCTGAGACAATGGAGCTAAATCTTTCTTCTGACAAAGGAACTTGTTTGCATAATGTTTGCACTACAAAGCAAAACATGTGAGAAATTGGAATGCAGACACCAAGCAGGAGCAAATACTTGCCCACAAAACTCCAAAAGGTGGGCATCCATTGGACAAAATGATCTAATGATACAAGGTGAAGGGATGAGAGAGAACCTTGAAGATGATGTCAAATGGGTGCTGACCTCGATTTCATCCATGGAGAGGATATCAGCCCAATTGACCAATCCATCCTCTGAAATGGAGGCAACACTGAACCTGGAGATGAGCCCACAAAGAGAAGGCTCATCCACATGTGAAAACCAGGGAAAACCAATTATAACAATACTCACAAAATGGGATGGCAAAGCATCCAGATGCTTAACATGGCCCACAGATCAGCATTTGTTGCTGGGGGGAGAAGGTAATGACATGCAGATAGGTGAGGACTTGTCAGGGTACCAGCTCATTGCTTGGTCAAGAGATGACTAAGCCTTTATGACATGGAAGTAGCTGGTATACCTTGGCATGTGCTGGAACCTGCTGGAAGGATTGGATGGTCAGGTGACCTGCTGTGCATGGCTGTGCATGACCTNATATGACCTCATCCTTGGTCATAT